ACTAATGATGCAGCTCCTGCAATGGTGCCAATGGCTGACATACTCAATCACATAACCAACAATAATGCACACTTAGAGTTTGGTGCTAAAACATTATCTATGGTAGCAACACAAAATATTTTTAAGGTACAGTGTTTAATTCTTGATATTAGTTTATTTAAAGTGGGGTTATAAAAATTAAAGGATACAGTTGACTCTCTCTCAACAGACACTTCTATAAGATGAACACCTCAATTAAACGGACATCTAGTGATAACATCTTAGAGAGAGATGACTGTATTAGAGACTGACGGTACTATTGTATTAGAGGAAATTACCTAGTTTTCCTGTAAATGGCATGATGTAAACTTTACTTGAAGAATATAATTTGAACTGAAGGAAAAATGGCAATCTACCATACATGTTCTGATCACTTACACTGCAATTTCCTAAATCACCTTTCATTCCTTTTAGGGGCAAGAAATTTTTAACACATATGGCAAACTTGCAAACTGCCACTTGCTTCAGTCCTATGGTTTTGTGGAAGATGAATTACCAAATCCTTATGATATGGTATGGTGATAATAACACAAAAATACATTCAGTTGCTGATTTATTTATCATAATAATATTATTACAGTGAAACCTGCAAACATGCCCGGGGAGGAGCACTGCTATATATGGGTATGGTTTTCAAGCAGTTTACTCTGGGATAGGGTATATAAATCAGAGAGTTGGGGTCTAGAACAGGGTATCATTTTCCAGGAAACTGATCAATTGGTTGAAGATTTAAGTCTAGACTAGGGAAACCGGGGAATTGTGACTGAAAAATATAAAAAATCAAATTGCTTTTGTTTTGGCTGGACAGTGCTAGTGACCTCAGTAGTTTCTGGAAAACAGCTATTCTAGGATGGGGGGGACGGGGGCAGGATTTGGGGAGTTTAGTCCAGTATAGGGTAGTAAAGTTCAGCTGAACTAGCTATAGTATAGGCTTAGGGTTCTAGGGTATCAGCGGCACATCTCCACCCAGAAATTCTTAAAGTGCCCCCCCCCCCTTCCTGGCGAACATGACCCTTGTTACCTATTATCTTGGTGGTTAATGGTTGTTTATGCAATGCAAGTTTGTACAGAAGTTTTTTCAAACCTTTTGTTTAAAGTACACTATTCTGCTGCGTTAACAAAAAAAAGACTATTTAATAATATTACAGACATATGGTGTCAGTATATGCAATCTAAACAGTAAAAGATAACTTAAAAGCAACCTGCAGAGACAGTCCACTGAACAGGAAGCTTTTTTCCATGGATATGCATTCCATCAAGTAGACTGTAAAGATTTGTCTGCATATTTTATGATTATATGTACTGAATGTTATTGACTGATTGTTGTTTTTCCATTCTCTCAAAAAGGTTGAGGTTCCCATCAGTTCATTTTGTGAGGTAATGAAAGAATGCCAGCCCCCAAAGGAAACAAGATTTGTGGATGCTAAGTTTAAATTTCTGGAGGAAATGGTTAGGATATTGCAATACTCATTATACTGATATTTTAATAATGTAATAGACAAGTGTCAATAGTTTATTTTAAAGCGACAGGGGAGCAAATCTCAGTGGTAGGAGACATTGAACTTGAAGCAAATGTCATGACTGGAAATGTATTGATTGCAGGTGGAGAAGGTTTGAGGGGAAGGTAGGTAGAGACAGAACAGCAAGGCTAAATACTTTGCAGAAGAGCCAAATAGTACATCAGTTGTATGAGCGAAAACATGGGGGCTCTATTTTCCCCAGTCCACTTGGGACGGAAAAATGCCAACTTCTACTAGTTTTGTTTGTCTTTTGTTTGATTGACAATTATTTATCTATTTTTGGTTTGATATAAAATATGCAATTTCCCCTTCCTTATTTAATATTAAAATAGACAATTTCCTTTCCCTTGTATACTTGTAAATGAGCCTTGTCTCTCCTTTTGTCTTCATTTTTAGGGCGTGGCATCACAGGATGACATTTTCCTTTTCGGAAGAGAGGGTTGTTCTCAGTTTGGTCCAGATTTGTATGCTACTTTGAGGGTGAGAAATGTCAGTGTTAGTGTTGACTCTGACTCGACCCAAGTTTTCCTTTAAATGCATGCGGTGCGTCAGTGAGAGCTTGAAGTTTAATTGGTAGAAGCAAAGCATACTGGAAGACTCTTCTCATCATCTTTCCCTCCCCATCACCCATTGCTTTCTCACCACTTTGCTTTCTTGCGTCCTGTGCGTTTTGAAGACATCTGAGGACGATTAAGGTGTAGACCAACATTGTATTACATAGTGAGCACGTAAATTTTTTGTAACATTCCATGGAAAAAATGTTCATCTGTCAAATGGAAGAACAGCTCCAGTAGCGCAACCCACAATTGGGTCGCAATTCCTCAGTGGATTCCCTGTGACGAAAAGTAGCGCTCCAATTGTCAGCCTTGGAATCTTTTTACGTTAATAAGTTCACCCTTAATCAACTGAGTTCAAAAAAACATTGATGTTTTACACCCCACCAACCTCCAACCCGGCCACAGTTTTCTTTTGAAACGGAACCTCTCATTACTGAATCACTCAGGTGGTCAATGTGCCAGTCAGCCAGCCAGCTACAATGTAGCTAAATCATCATCATCGTTCGGCCCTTTTTTTCAGGATGCTTTGAACAATGAAGAAAGTAAACATGGCCACTTTTTTTCCATTGAAGAAGGGATTGATTAATCTCACCCTTTGCTCGTTAGCCAGCTGTAGCCAGTAAGTCAGTCCCGTGGATGAAACTTTTAACCAATCTTGTCTGCGTTTATCTCTGTCAGCCAGTGAACCAGTGAAGTCAGTTACTCGATCGAAGGACTCCATGCAAAAAAGGTTTCAGGGAAACTACCGACCTACCCCTCCCCTAAGCCAACATTAACACTTACTTCTCACTTAGAGCAAAATGTTGGCTTAGGGGAGGGGTAGGTGGACAGTTTCCCAGAAACTTAAATTGATCCAAATGGTCTCCTCCAAAAAGGAAACGAGGGTGGAGGGGACCTTCGCGCTCTTTCCACCCACTCAAGAAAAGAACGCCTGATCGCAGGTTAGGGACGTTTTTGTACGTGGCCGTTCGATTGATCAACTGACTTTCTTGGTTGGTCATTCCATCTTAGTGGTATGTACCAGAATATTTTTCTCGATTACTTCTGGCTGAATCATTACTTACTTTCTTCAAATGTGTTTGCAGATCGTGCATTTGTCTGAAGTTCAGTTCAAGAAGCTTCTAGAGGAGCAATTGCAAATTGAAAGGAGCAACGAATTTGATGACATCAGGCAGGTCTTGAATCAACAGGACGAGGACAGCAGGAAGGACTCTAGTTGGAGAATATTGGAACTTATTTTTAATTCCGAAAATAAGAGCAAGAAAAAGAGAAGGAGAGTGGATGATGAGAAATCAGAGGGAAATAAGAAGTCTAGAAAGGAACTGCTTGCGTCTGGAGATTGCAACCTCGAAGTAGTTTCAGAAAATAATTCTCTGAGTAAAAATGAAAGTGAGAATGGCTCAGTAAACGATCTTGCAGAAAGTGGGATTCTTAAAAAGGACATGGTCCTCTCAACCAACAAAGCAATCATTAGGCCTGCTGTGGACGGGAATTTGACAGAGTCAAAAACAGAGAATGTGACTAACTGTAAGTCTACCAAAAATGGTCGTGCAAAAGAAGGATTAGAGTCCTGCAACAGAGAGAGAGCTGGTAATGGTCACGTGGTGAAAAATGTTAGAGGGGACAATGACGTTGATGAAGTTGATGATGACATGGATGATGACGATGATGACGGGGACAATGATGCTGCTGATGATGATGGTTGTGGTGGTGGTGATGAAGATGATGATGATGATGATGATGATGATGATGAAGATGACGACGACGATGATGATGATAATAATGAGGTCGAGAAGGAGCAGGAAGACGAAGTTGAAGAAGAAGAGGTAGACGAGGAGGAATCTGAGCAATTACTTACTTACGGTAAGTAAGAAAGCTCCACAAGCAACACCAACGACAACATTCTTATTGAACCTCAAATGTCTGAGAAGGATCACCTCTCATTCTCACCTCTCACCTCTTATTCACAGTGAAGAAGTGTCATACGCTGAAACGTCTGTTTTTACAAACATTTATGGCACTTATTGATGTTGTGTTTTACATTCCCAGTCGTGTCAGGAGTATCTTAGTGCAACTGTGGATAACTGAAGCGCCATGGCTAAGGAAACACTTGCACTACGGAAACCAGTTCCCTTGTCAGTGCCCGAGTTGAAGGTGTCCAACTTGAGAAAAAGAAGTGTCCTGCCGTAAGCAGTCACAAAATGTTGGCATTTTTGGGCGGTCCCTTGAGCTAAAAACCCTTTTAATGGCAAGAGAGACCAACATCAGTTTTCTCCTAACAGTGAATATCCTTACCTCATCAAGAGAAGAGGTCATGAGACTCAATAAAATAATCACGGCCAAAGAGGAAATGCTTTGATCCTTTTTCAAATTTTCCCAAATATTTTTTCGAGGGAAATGTTTGGAAAGTACAAATAAATAGAAACATTGCGACATCAGTTGCTTTCAATCCAAAAATCTCAATTAAAACTGGTTACAACTCACTTTCATTGTGTTCATTTTCTTTCACAGAATTATTGTCACAGTGGCCAATAGAATGGAGAAGGACACTGAAACGGTAAGACTCGCTGAAGAGTAGAGACGTTACTATCCTGTTTTTATCACGTACAAAGAACCAGCTACTATGATATGAACGTTCTTAGTAAGAACAAAGCAAAAGCACCCCAAGGACAGGAATGAGAATTATTTTTGTCGAACATTAAAATATGTAGGGCTTGTAAAGGGGTTCTAGTCACCGCTATAAGGGATTCAAAAACAGTATCGTAAATCCTTTATTAAGCCCCCCCAGGGGCTTATTTTTTTCAAGCCTTTTTGCGGGGAGGGGGCTTAAAAGAGAGGGGAGCTTATTTAATTTAGCGAAATGCATTAACGGAAGCAAGGTTTCTCGAGGACGGACTTGTGGTTACCGGGCGCTATACTGCTTTTTCTAACTTTAAGAAAATGGTAACAATTCTCCACAGAGAACTAGAGCATAAAGTTGAAAAAGTTCAGCACGTGAAATTGGGGGTCATTCGGCCGAAGACCAAAAACAATATGAATTTCTAGCCTAAATAAACCATATCTGATCAGTCCACGTTAATTGTTTTTGAAGAATAAGGATGGAGGGAAGGGGGAGGGAGGTGGGGTATTAACTTTCCTCCTCTGAAAAAGGAGGGGCTTATTTGAGAGCGGGGGCTTAATAGAGGATTTTTGGTAATAAATAGGCAGTAGAATTCGTTAACTTGTTGCGATTCCAGCGAGCTTAAGTGCTCCCGTTGCTCCCTCTATATGGTGAGAATAACGGTGCAACTAAGATTCGCTAGAATCGCTCTGAAACAGCCCGGAAAACACACATGGAGACAAGGCAAGAAATTCTTCTGCCTTTTTGTCATACCTTTTTTGGAGTCTAACTAGTGATCGCTATAGTCTCCATAAAAAACCCTATAATTACGCAACTACAAATCTCACTCGTAAATTTGGGATTCCTGTGGAAAGAGCCGGCATTGATCTCGACGGTATTTGAAACATGATGATGATGACGATGATACTTAAAGCCCACACCCTTAACAGAGGAACGTGAGCTCAAAGCTTAGAAACCAGTATAAGAGAAACGCCTTCCCCCTCCCCCCAGATATTAGGGACCTTTCGATTCTAAGACGAGAACAACTTCGAGTAAGAGATTTTCTCAATACTAAGTAGTGCGCGCGCGTGAACCAGCATCATTTTGGCGGGAAAACGCGATAGCCGTTGTCATTCTACTACTAGTTTTGCATGTTTTAGCGAGGATGTCGTAATGACGAAAACAAGTTATTAATTGTTAAAAGTTTTATCATTTTGTGATTGGGAGGGGGCTTAACGTCCTCCAATAAAGGTTAGAGTGCCAGCTTTTCAGGTGAAAAAAAAGTACAATGAAGCATGCCGGGGTGTTTGATTTTTTTTTACATTACGCGAAAAAACTGTCAGTGAAATCTCGTAGTCGTGCTTGTCCTCAAAAAGGTCTCCATCACTTCTCATTCTACAGCTTTTAGTATCATTTACTTATATTACTGTATGTGCTTTGCTTACCACAGTGTGGCAGAGTTATGTATAAAGAAACGTTATGGACAAGACAATATGGATTTGGATTGCAAAGGAGAAAATCAGCTAAGTCAAAGACAATTGTCCGTGTTAAAAATCAAGCGGGGTCAAAAATCTATATTTCAACGAATTTGTGAACTTGTCGTCGAAGACTAACACTATCAAACTTGTCTATTATTGAATACAGAGAAGGGTATTGACAAACGGTGCTTTTTTAGTAATAAAGTGAATAGTACATCTATGTACATTTTTTATGGTTTTTATGTTTATAATGTGACCTATTTTCTTATGTTAACTTTTAAAAGATCTTAGCTTTGAAATTATTCAGATAGTTTGCAACGCACCTCGGGCCTCATTTTGGTCTAAAAATAAGGTGTGTGTGGGGGGGGGGGGGGGGGGGGGGGGGGGGGGGGAGCCCCCCCCCCGGGGCCACCCACGCCAACCCCTTTAGGACCCGCTCAACAAANCTTTAAGTACTGCGTTAAAGAAAACGTACGACGATGGAACCTAGGGGAGTGGTCAAGGGCTGGGGCCTTACTTTTGCTCTTGAGTCTCTAGGAATCCTCAATTTTTGCATCATATGCTGGTAACCCTGGATTTTAAAGGTTTAGCGCATTGGTCTTCCAGCAATCGTTCATAGAGCACAGTGTTGGGGAATATTTTCCAGCGCTGGTTTACGATCAAGGACTGTATCTTTCAATTTCACTAAATGCGTTTATTCTCGCTCAAAGTTAGTTCAGTGTTACACTCTCAATGTCTATTTCGTTCTAAACTAGAGCTCTTAATACATCAATGACTCATACTTTGACAAAAGAGAATCGAAATACAATAATGCTGAGGTTAATTCTTGGCTCGCTAAACCCTATTGTAATGCTTAGCTCTAAATCTAGCCAAAATTGTTCTTTGTTTCCCTTAAATCAGTACGTGATCTATATTATCTATGCAACCCGTAAGTAAATATCACGCAGTGACGTTAATTAAGCAACTAGCGTTACGTAATTTAAAATACATTGGACTATTACCTGACACACAATACTGGTCGTTGGTCAAAACGATTGTTCCACAAAACTTGCACTCTATACTCCATAAGAGGACTGCTTTTTCTTTACGTACCCTTCCTTCCACCATCCAATGTTGTTTCTTATTTAAAGGCTCCCTCTCACTAGTAGAAAGTACGAACAGAATTTACAGCAAGGAGCCAAAAAGTATGACCTCACTCACATTCTTTCATACAGACATAAACCAATCAGAAGTCGAGGACAGTTTCCAGCTGGCTTCTGATTGGATCAAAACCCATCATAACCTAATAGAGGACCCCATCTTAGTCACCTTTGGGAAAATAGGGACCTTACGAGACTAGGACGGCGACAGCAACGGGAACGTCAAAAAAGTAATAGGTTTAATGAGCAAAACAACAACTCTCCACGTGCATCACGCTTTTTTGTACATTTCTTTGCCGTCCCTGCATAACTAGGACAAGAAATGACCAAATTTTAAGTTTACTTGGGAACGGGAACGGCAAGGAGATAAATTCTACCATCTCCGTCAGAACTCGGGCGCGGTCCCTCCTCTTCCCTTTTTTAAGTAACTGGGTTCCTTGGAATAATCGCGAAAAAAATGAAAGGATGCGAAGTCTATTTTTGAGCGACGTTTTTATGGGCGTCGCCGTTGTCGGATCGTAAGGTCAACCTAATGCAATTTTGGCGATCCCAACTCAGTAACTTTCTGTTTATGCATCTACCTGTAAAGCCTTTAAAATAGGTCATCCTGAAAGGAATTGACACATTGGTTAAACTTAAGGTGGCTCGACTGGATTTTTTGGGGTTGATACCTCCCAAGTTTGAGCATTAACTACGTCGGCATGAGTAAAGATATGGAAAAAAAGGTTACCACAACTGTATTATATGAAGATGAAAATTTCTTATGATCTGGGTTTTATTGCAATCGGAGTCACCATGGCAACGTAATGACGCCATTACGTTTTTCATTTATCTTTGTGTTTCTCTGTACCATGAGTTTTTTGAAGAAATCGCTTAAGGGAGTATGTACCTGCCATAATTGCCTCCATTATGGCAAAGTTTGAAGAAATTCTATGAGAGCGTTTTCGAGATATTTTGAAATGCAGTTTTAAGAATCATCAAAGCAGTGAAATAGCATGCTAGCCGCACAATTCGCTAATATTTTAAGAAAATGATAAGCTTTGGGAACGCGGCTTCATCTCGTAGTGGTTTGATTCCATTGAAAACTGCATGCAAAAAAAGAGGGGAATTGCTCTGGGCGATCGCGAGTAAGAAGAATTTTATTAACTTGCATTCAGCTGTTTTTGATACAGTTTTTGGAGGTAATTTGGTCCATGCCTACAAATTTCGCATTTTTCCAAAAACCGCTCGATAAATTTTTTTATAAATTCGACAATCCCGAGATCAATCGTCAAGAAATATTCCCTGCAAGTTTCAAGAACATTGAAAACAGGGAAGGCTTTTAAATAGGGACTCAAACATAACCAATTTTCTCCCCAGATTTTGTGTTTACAAGTGAGCGTCCTCATTATTCACTGGCATTGTTTTCAAGTTTCATATGCACGTGTACAACTAGCAAAAGATATAAATTTGCATACAAAAGAACTCTCGATTACTTTCCGAAGAAATATCCGGTACATGCTAATAATTGGCTTGTCGTCACAGATAGTAGTGAGAGCCGAAACGGTAAACGTCACGGCTCATCGTGTAGGATGCAATACTTAATTATCTTACTCGGGTTATAACATCACAGAAACTATCACAAAGAGTTGCTCTGATGTTATAATGTATCACTAACCTCTTTAACCGGTAATTAGCATATCCCGGAGATTTAACCGAGGGTCCTTTTTGATGCAAATTCTATCTTTTTGCTAAATGTGCACGTGTATATGAAACTTGAAAACAATGCCAGTGAATAATGAGGACGCTCGATTGTAAACACAAAATCTGTAGGGAAAATTGGCTATATTTGAGGCCCTATTTTAAAGCCTTCCCTGTTTTCAATGTTCTTAAAACCTGCAGGGAATATATCTTGACGATTGATCTCGGGATTGTCGAATTTATAAAAAAATTTATCGAGCGGTTTTTGGAAAAATGCGAAATTTGTAGGCATGGACCAAATTACCTCCAAGAACTGTATCAAAAGCATCTGAATGCAAGTTAATAAAACCCTTCTTACTCGCGATCGCCCAAAGCAATTCCCTTCTTTTTTTGTATGCAGTTTTCAATGCAATCAATCCACTATGAGATGAAGCTGCGTTCCCAAAACTTATCATTTTCTTAAAATATTAGCGAATTGTGCGGCTAGCATGCTATTTCAATGTTTTTATGATTCTTAAAACTGCATTTCAAAATATTTCGAAAACGCTCTCATAGAATTTCTTCAAACTTTGCCATAATGGAGGCAATTATGGCAGGTACATACTCCCTTAAGCGATTTCTTCAAAAAACTCCTGGTACAGAGAAACACAAAGATAAATGAAAAACGTAATGGCGTCATTACGTTGCCATGGCGATTCCGATTGCAATAAAACCCAGATCATAAGAAATTTTCATCTTTATGTAATACAGTTGTGGTAACCTTTTTTTCCATATCTTTACTCATGCCGAAGTAGTTAAGTCTCAAACTTGGGAGGTATCCCCCTAAAAAAATCCAGTCGAGCCACCTTAACGAGGTAAAAATCTTCCCATTTTTAAATTCCTACCTACCTGAATTTTCTGATCCCCCAAATCCCGAAAATCTGCGACCCCATCCAAGTATAAACTCTAATGAAAATGTAACCCCATTATAGTCTAACGTGTGGTAATTTAGTTGCTCTTAGCACACTATCACAGTACAAGCGTTTATACACTGGTCAAGTGATTCAAAGGTGCAGACAAGAGAAGGAAAGACTGGAATTCTTCTCCGTATCGATTAAAGAGGTAATAAGGGCTCTTATTACGACCCATGGTCGTAAACCTACTAGCCAAAAATCACGAATAGGTTTATTCGTTTTGTTTTCTAACTTTACCTGTGTCTACGATAAAACCTGTGTTAGGTGCACATCATCCTCATTTATCCCCAAACGTTTTCTCTTATTTGTTTGTATTGAACTTCTATGAGTTTTCGAGTTAGGATTCCTGAGGTGCTCACGCGATACAGATTCCATTGTATATCTCACTATTCTTTTGTTATCTTTTATAAAGGGCGTGAGTTTTTTATTTGTTGTGACGCGTTATCACCAAAAACTTTGCTCGTTATTTGCATGTGAGCAACATCCCAGCCCTGCGGGGCTGACCGCGCGCTCGGAGTTGGGTCTAATGACTTCAGGCCTTACCCAACGCAAAGCTTCAGCGTGTTACTTGAAAAATTGTCTTTGAAAAGGATTTCGTACATTTTATTTTTGTTTTTGCTGTTGTTGTTGTTGTTGCTTTGTCAACCTTCGATGGCGTAATATCAGACACCAAACCTCGTTCCCAGGGTTCTCTCCTAACCGTCCCTCTCTCGCTCTGTTGGGACGGGAGGACCCTGTGAACGAAGTTGGCTGAGACTTTTAAGCTTGGCTTGGGAAAATTCCTGTAGTGACGTCATAGTCTTACCCAGTCACCAAGCGCGCAATAAGTCATTCAAATATTCCTTACGAAAGGTGTTCGAATAAGACAAGAAAAATTCGACCGTCATTTGCGCAGTATTTTGATATCAAAACCAAGAAATTTAGACATTAAAATTTGGTATGAAGTCGATGATGTCGTTGTGAATAGTGGCATTTAGGGTTCATTTTCTATGAACGAATTAAACTTTGAAATGGGTATGGGAGTTTAAATCCCATGGTGTATGTTGTTTTTGACTCACTGATATATGACCAGGAGAACTATTTTTATGCTACTAACCTATCTGACGAGCTAGTTCGATAATTTAGATAATTTGCGATGTGAAGAAACGTTTGTCTTGCCACGCGGTTGTTGAAAAGGTGGCGAGTACCTTCTGCTATCTAGGTGATAAGGGGTAAACCAATCGTGTTATCCACGGGACAG